CAGTAAAATTTACTGGTGACAATAACAAGTATTTTAAGGCTTCGATTCGCATTTCCCACTGCTCTTTTGTCATACTGGACGAAGGTGTTGGTTCATCCACTTCGTCGTCACTCAAGGTGAGGTCTGTTATTTCCTTATCATAATCCATTGTCGTCACTCCTAGTACCATGATTTAACCTAAGGCTATTTAAGCGAAGAGAAATACTGAGATGGTGTACAATATTATACTCTGAAAAAATTTCATTTGAATTGTACTTGTTAAATGAACAATCAATATTACTGTTGTCGGGATAAGACCTTAAGGGAGTCCAGGAACCTCCTAGGATTCGACCTGTACCATCTAAGTCGACTATTCTACAATTAAGAATACCTAAATCCTTTAAATTTGGAGCAAGTTTTAAAATTAGATTAAACTCTCTATCAGATATTTGAATTCTATTTAAAGTTATACTGGTCATTTGATGGGGAAAAGGGAGTGCAGGCATAATATATTTCAGTAAAATTTACTGGCGACAATAACAAGTATTTTAAGGCTTCGATTCGCATTTCCAACTGCTCTTTTGTCATACTGGACGAAGGTGTTGGTTCATCCACTTCGTCGTCACTCAAGGTGAGGTCTATTATTTCCTTATCATAATCCATTGTGCGTTGGGCAAATCAAGGGAAGCCAAGGGCTGTTATATTATCTACTTTCCACATTTCCAGTCAATTAAACAGGAAAATACATATCAATAATGTGATACAATTAATTATAAAAAAAACATTTTTATAATATTCTAGTATGATGATTTAACCTAAGGCTATTTAAGCGAAGAGAATTACTGAGATGGTGTACAATATTATACTCTGAAAAAATTTCATTTGAATTGTACTTGTTAAATGAACAATCAATATTACTGTTGTCGGGATAAGACCTTAAGGGAGTCCAGGAACCTCCTAGGATTCGACCTGTACCATCTAAGTCGACTATTCTACAATTAAGAATAAATAAATCCTTTAAATTTGGAGCAAGTTTTAAAATTAGATTAAACTCTCTATCAGATATTTGAAGTCTATTTAAAGTTATACTGGTCATTTGATGGGGAAAAGGGAGTGCAGGCATAATATATTTCAGTAAAATTTACTGGCGACAATAACAATTGTTTTAAGGCTTCGATTCGCATTTCCAACTGCTCTTTTGTCATACTGGACGAAGGTGTTGGTTCATCCACTTCGTCGTCACTCAAGGTGAGGTCTGTTATTTCCTTATCATAATCCATTATGCGTTGGGCAAATCAAGGGAACCTAAGGGCTGTTATATTATCCACTTTCCACATGGCCAGTCAATTAAAATGGAAAATACATATCAATAATGTGATACAATTAATTATAAAAAAACATTTTTATAATATTCTAGTACCATGATTTAACCTAAGGCTATTTAAGCGAAGAGAATTACTGAGATGGTGTACAATATTATACTCTGAAAAAATTTCATTTGAATTGTACTTGTTAAATGAACAATCAATATTACTGTTGTTGGGATAAGACCTTAAGGGAGTCCAGGAACCTCCTACGATTGGACCTGTACCATCTAAGTCGACTATTCTACAATTAAGAATAAATAAATCCTTTAAATTTGGAGCAAGTTTTAAAATTAGATTAAACTCTCTATCAGATATTTGAAGTCTATTTAAAGTTATACTGGTCATTTGATGGGGAAAAGGGAGTGCAGGCAACATATATTTTAGTAAAATTTACTGGCGATAATAACAAGTATTTTAAGGCTTCGATTCGCATTTCCAACTGCTCTTTTTTCATACTGGACGAAGGTGTTGGTTCATCCACTTCGTCGTCACTCAAGGTGAGGTCTGTTATTTCCTTATCATAATCCATTGTCGTCACTCCTAGTACCATGATTTAACCTAAGGCTATTTAAGCGAAGAGAAATACTGAGATGGTGTACAATATTATACTCTGAAAAAATTTCATTTGAATTGTACTTGTTAAATGAACAATCAATATTACTGTTGTCGGGATAAGACCTTAAGGGAGTCCAGGAACCTCCTAGGATTCGACCTGTACCATCTAAGTCGACTATTCTACAATTAAGAATACCTAAATCCTTTAAATTTGGAGCAAGTTTTAAAATTAGATTAAACTCTCTATCAGATATTTGAATTCTATTTAAAGTTATACTGGTCATTTGATGGGGAAAAGGGAGTGCAGGCATAATATATTTCAGTAAAATTTACTGGCGACAATAACAATTGTTTTAAGGCTTCGATTCGCATTTCCAACTGCTCTTTTGTCATACTGGACGAAGGTGTTGGTTCATCCACTTCGTCGTCACTCAAGGTGAGGTCTGTTATTTCCTTATCATAATCCATTATGCGTTGGGCAAATCAAGGGAACCTAAGGGCTGTTATATTATCCACTTTCCACATGGCCAGTCAATTAAAATGGAAAATACATATCAATAATGTGATACAATTAATTATAAAAAAACATTTTTATAATATTCTAGTACCATGATTTAACCTAAGGCTATTTAAGCGAAGAGAATTACTGAGATGGTGTACAATATTATACTCTGAAAAAATTTCATTTGAATTGTACTTGTTAAATGAACAATCAATATTACTGTTGTTGGGATAAGACCTTAAGGGAGTCCAGGAACCTCCTACGATTGGACCTGTACCATCTAAGTCGACTATTCTACAATTAAGAATAAATAAATCCTTTAAATTTGGAGCAAGTTTTAAAATTAGATTAAACTCTCTATCAGATATTTGAAGTCTATTTAAAGTTATACTGGTCATTTGATGGGGAAAAGGGAGTGCAGGCAACATATATTTTAGTAAAATTTAATGGCGATAATAACAAGTATTTTAAGGCTTCGATTCGCATTTCCAACTGCTCTTTTTTCATACTGGACGAAGGTGTTGGTTCATCCACTTCGTCGTCACTCAAGGTGAGGTCTGTTATTTCCTTATCATAATCCATTGTCGTCACTCCTAGTACCATGATTTAAAATAAGGCTATTTAAGCGAAGAGAAATACTGAGATGGTGTACAATATTATACTCTGAAAAAATTTCATTTGAATTGTACTTGTTAAATGAACAATCAATATTACTGTTGTCGGGATAAGACCTTAAGGGAGTCCAGGAACCTCCTAGGATTCGACCTGTACCATCTAAGTCGACTATTCTACAATTAAGAATACCTAAATCCTTTAAATTTGGAGCAAGTTTTAAAATTAGATTAAACTCTCTATCAGATATTTGAATTCTATTTAAAGTTATACTGGTCATTTGATGGGGAAAAGGGAGTGCAGGCATAATATATTTCAGTAAAATTTACTGGCGACAATAACAAGTATTTTAAGGCTTCGATTCGCATTTCCAACTGCTCTTTTGTCATACTGGACGAAGGTGTTGGTTCATCCACTTCGTCGTCACTCAAGGTGAGGTCTATTATTTCCTTATCATAATCCATTGTGCGTTGGGCAAATCAAGGGAAGCCAAGGGCTGTTATATTATCTACTTTCCACATTTCCAGTCAATTAAACAGGAAAATACATATCAATAATGTGATACAATTAATTATAAAAAAACATTTTTATAATATTCTAGTATGATGATTTAACCTAAGGCTATTTAAGCGAAGAGAATTACTGAGATGGTGTACAATATTATACTCTGAAAAAATTTCATTTGAATTGTACTTGTTAAATGAACAATCAATATTACTGTTGTCGGGATGAGACCTTAAGGGAGTCCTGGAACCTCCTAGGATTGGACCTGTAGCATCCAAGTCGACTATTCTACAATTAAGAATACCTAAATCCTTTAAATTTGGAGGTAAGTTTTAAAATTAGATTAAACTCTCTATCAGATATTTGAATTCTATTTAAAGTTATACTGGTCATTTGATGGGGAAAAGGGAGTGCAGGCAACATATATTTTAGTAAAATTTACTGGCGATAATAACAAGTATTTTAAGGCTTCGATTCGCATTTCCAACTGCTCTTTTTTCATACTGGACGAAGGTGTTGGTTCATCCACTTCGTCGTCACTCAAGGTGAGGTCTGTTATTTCCTTATCATAATCCATTGTCGTCACTCCTAGTACCATGATTTAAAATAAGGCTATTTAAGCGAAGAGAAATACTGAGATGGTGTACAATATTATACTCTGAAAAAATTTCATTTGAATTGTACTTGTTAAATGAACAATCAATATTACTGTTGTCGGGATAAGACCTTAAGGGAGTCCAGGAACCTCCTAGGATTCGACCTGTACCATCTAAGTCGACTATTCTACAATTAAGAATACCTAAATCCTTTAAATTTGGAGCAAGTTTTCAAATTAGATTAAACTCTCTATCAGATATTTGAATTCTATTTAAAGTTATACTGGTCATTTGATGGGGAAAAGGGAGTGCAGGCATAATATATTTCAGTAAAATTTACTGGCGACAATAACAAGTATTTTAAGGCTTCGATTCGCATTTCCAACTGCTCTTTTGTCATACTGGACGAAGGTGTTGGTTCATCCACTTCGTCGTCACTCAAGGTGAGGTCTATTATTTCCTTATCATAATCCATTGTGCGTTGGGCAAATCAAGGGAAGCCAAGGGCTGTTATATTATCTACTTTCCACATTTCCAGTCAATTAAACAGGAAAATACATATCAATAATGTGATACAATTAATTATAAAAAAAACATTTTTATAATATTCTAGTATGATGATTTAACCTAAGGCTATTTAAGCGAAGAGAATTACTGAGATGGTGTACAATATTATACTCTGAAAAAATTTCATTTGAATTGTACTTGTTAAATGAACAATCAATATTACTGTTGTCGGGATAAGACCTTAAGGGAGTCCAGGAACCTCCTAGGATTCGACCTGTACCATCTAAGTCGACTATTCTACAATTAAGAATACCTAAATCCTTTAAATTTGGAGCAAGTTTTCAAATTAGATTAAACTCTCTATCAGATATTTGAATTCTATTTAAAGTTATACTGGTCATTTGATGGGGAAAAGGGAGTGCAGGCATAATATATTTCAGTAAAATTTACTGGCGACAATAACAAGTATTTTAAGGCTTCGATTCGCATTTCCAACTGCTCTTTTGTCATACTGGACGAAGGTGTTGGTTCATCCACTTCGTCGTCACTCAAGGTGAGGTCTGTTATTTCCTTATCATATTCCATTGTCGTCACTCCTAGTACCATGATTTAACCTAAGGCTATTTAAGCGAAGAGAAATACTGAGATGGTGTACAATATTATACTCTGAAAAAATTAATTTGAATTGTACTTGTTAAATGAACAATCAATATTACTGTTGTCGGGATAAGACCTTAAGGGAGTCCAGGAACCTCCTAGGATTCGACCTGTACCATCTAAGTCGACTATTCTACAATTAAGAATACCTAAATCCTTTAAATTTGGAGCAAGTTTTCAAATTAGATTAAACTCTCTATCAGATATTTGAATTCTATTTAAAGTTATACTGGTCATTTGATGGGGAAAAGGGAGTGCAGGCATAATATATTTCAGTAAAATTTACTGGCGACAATAACAAGTATTTTAAGGCTTCGATTCGCATTTCCAACTGCTCTTTTGTCATACTGGACGAAGGTGTTGGTTCATCCACTTCGTCGTCACTCAAGGTGAGGTCTGTTATTTCCTTATCATAATCCATTGTCGTCACTCCTAGTACCATGATTTAACCTAAGGCTATTTAAGCGAAGAGAAATACTGAGATGGTGTACAATATTATACTCTGAAAAAATTTCATTTGAATTGTACTTGTTAAATGAACAATCAATATTACTGTTGTCGGGATGAGACCTTAAGGGAGTCCTGGAACCTTCTAGGATTGGACCTGTAGCATCCAAGTCGACTATTCTACAATTAAGAATACCTAAATCCTTTAAATTTGGAGCAAGTTTTCAAATTAGATTAAACTCTCTATCAGATATTTGAATTCTATTTAAAGTTATACTGGTCATTTGATGGGGAAAAGGGAGTGCAGGCAACATATATTTTAGTAAAATTTACTGGCGATAATAACAAGTATTTTAAGGCTTCGATTCGCATTTCCAACTGCTCCTTTGTCATACTGGACGAAGGTGTTGGTTCATCCACTTCGTCGTCACTCAAGGTGAGGTCTGTTATTTCCTTATCATAATCCATTATGCGTTGGGCAAATCAAGGGAACCTAAGGGCTGTTATATTATCCACTTTCCACATGGCCAGTCAATTAAAATGGAAAATACATATCAATAATGTGATACAATTAATTATAAAAAAACATTTTTATAATATTCTAGTACCATGATTTAACCTAAGGCTATTTAAGCGAAGAGAATTACTGAGATGGTGTACAATATTATACTCTGAAAAAATTTCATTTGAATTGTACTTGTTAAATGAACAATCAATATTACTGTTGTCGGGATAAGACCTTAAGGGAGTCCAGGAACCTCCTACGATTGGACCTGTACCATCTAAGTCGACTATTCTACAATTAAGAATACCTAAATCCTTTAAATTTGGAGCAAGTTTTAAAATTAGATTAAACTCTCTATCATATATTTGAATTCTATTTAAAGTTATACTGGTCCTTTGATGGGAAAAAGGGAGTGCAGGCATTATATATTTCAGTAAAATTTACTGGTGACAATAACAAGTATTTTAAGGCTTCGATTCGCATTTCCCACTGCTCTTTTGTCATACTGGACGAAGGTGTTGGTTCATCCACTTCGTCGTCACTCAAGGTGAGATCTGTTATTTCCTTATCATAATCCATTGTCGTCACTCCTAGTACCATGATTTAAAATAAGGCTATTTAAGCGAAGAGAAATACTGAGATGGTGTACAATATTATACTCTGAAAAAATTTCATTTGAATTGTACTTGTTAAATGAACAATCAATATTACTGTTGTCGGGATGAGACCTTAAGGGAGTCCTGGAACCTCCTAGGATTGGACCTGTAGCATCCAAGTCGACTATTCTACAATTAAGGACACCTAAATCCTTTATATTTGGAGCAAGTTTTAAAATTAGATTAAACTCTCTATCAGATATTTGAATTCTATTTAAAGTTATACTGGTCATTTGATGGGGAAAAGGGAGTGCAGGCAACATATATTTTAGTAAAATTTACTGGCGATAATAACAAGTATTTTAAGGCTTCGATTCGCATTTCCAACTGCTCTTTTGTCATACTGGACGAAGGTGTTGGTTCATCCACTTCGTCGTCACTCAAGGTGATTTCTATTGTTTCTTTATCATAATCCATTGTGTGTTGGGTAAATCAAGGGAAGCCAAGGGCTGTTATATTATCTACTTTCCACATTTCCAGTCAATTAAACAGGAAAATACATATCAATAATGTGATACAATTAATTATAAAAAAAACATTTTTATTATATTCTAGTACCATGATTTAACCTAAGGCTATTTAAGCGAAGAGAATTACTGAGATGGTGTACAATATTATACTCTGAAAAAATTTCATTTGAATTGTACTTGTTAAATGAACAATCAATATTACTGTTGTCGGGATGAGACCTTAAGGGAGTCCTGGAACCTTCTAGGATTGGACCTGTAGCATCCAAGTCGACTATTCTACAATTAAGAATACCTAAATCCTTTAAATTTGGAGCAAGTTTTCAAATTAGATTAAACTCTCTATCAGATATTTGAATTCTATTTAAAGTTATACTGGTCATTTGATGGGGAAAAGGGAGTGCAGGCAACATATATTTTAGTAAAATTTACTGGCGATAATAACAAGTATTTTAAGGCTTCGATTCGCATTTCCAACTGCTCCTTTGTCATACTGGACGAAGGTGTTGGTTCATCCACTTCGTCGTCACTCAAGGTGAGGTCTGTTATTTCCTTATCATAATCCATTATGCGTTGGGCAAATCAAGGGAACCTAAGGGCTGTTATATTATCCACTTTCCACATGGCCAGTCAATTAAAATGGAAAATACATATCAATAATGTGATACAATTAATTATAAAAAAACATTTTTATAATATTCTAGTACCATGATTTAACCTAAGGCTATTTAAGCGAAGAGAATTACTGAGATGGTGTACAATATTATACTCTGAAAAAATTTCATTTGAATTGTACTTGTTAAATGAACAATCAATATTACTGTTGTCGGGATAAGACCTTAAGGGAGTCCAGGAACCTCCTACGATTGGACCTGTACCATCTAAGTCGACTATTCTACAATTAAGAATACCTAAATCCTTTAAATTTGGAGCAAGTTTTATAATTAGATTAAACTCTCTATCATATATTTGAATTCTATTTAAAGTTATACTGGTCCTTTGATGGGAAAAAGGGAGTGCAGGCATTATATATTTCAGTAAAATTTACTGGTGACAATAACAAGTATTTTAAGGCTTCGATTCGCATTTCCCACTGCTCTTTTGTCATACTGGACGAAGGTGTTGGTTCATCCACTTCGTCGTCACTCAAGGTGAGATCTGTTATTTCCTTATCATAATCCATTGTCGTCACTCCTAGTACCATGATTTAAAATAAGGCTATTTAAGCGAAGAGAAATACTGAGATGGTGTACAATATTATACTCTGAAAAAATTTCATTTGAATTGTACTTGTTAAATGAACAATCAATATTACTGTTGTCGGGATGAGACCTTAAGGGAGTCCTGGAACCTCCTAGGATTGGACCTGTAGCATCCAAGTCGACTATTCTACAATTAAGGACACCTAAATCCTTTATATTTGGAGCAAGTTTTAAAATTAGATTAAACTCTCTATCAGATATTTGAATTCTATTTAAAGTTATACTGGTCATTTGATGGGGAAAAGGGAGTGCAGGCAACATATATTTTAGTAAAATTTACTGGCGATAATAACAAGTATTTTAAGGCTTCGATTCGCATTTCCAACTGCTCTTTTGTCATACTGGACGAAGGTGTTGGTTCATCCACTTCGTCGTCACTCAAGGTGATTTCTATTGTTTCTTTATCATAATCCATTGTGTGTTGGGTAAATCAAGGGAAGCCAAGGGCTGTTATATTATCTACTTTCCACATTTCCAGTCAATTAAACAGGAAAATACATATCAATAATGTGATACAATTAATTATAAAAAAAACATTTTTATTATATTCTAGTACCATGATTTAACCTAAGGCTATTTAAGCGAAGAGAATTACTGAGATGGTGTACAATATTATACTCTGAAAAAATTTCATTTGAATTGTACTTGTTAAATGAACAATCAATATTACTGTTGTCGGGATAAGACCTTAAGGGAGTCCAGGAACCTCCTAGGATTCGACCTGTACCATCTAAGTCGACTATTCTACAATTAAGAATACCTAAATCCTTTAAATTTGGAGCAAGTTTTCAAATTAGATTAAACTCTCTATCAGATATTTGAATTCTATTTAAAGTTATACTGGTCATTTGATGGGGAAAAGGGAGTGCAGGCATAATATATTTCAGTAAAATTTACTGGCGACAATAACAAGTATTTTAAGGCTTCGATTCGCATTTCCAACTGCTCTTTTGTCATACTGGACGAAGGTGTTGGTTCATCCACTTCGTCGTCACTCAAGGTGAGGTCTGTTATTTCCTTATCATAATCCATTGTCGTCACTCCTAGTACCATGATTTAACCTAAGGCTATTTAAGCGAAGAGAAATACTGAGATGGTGTACAATATTATACTCTGAAAAAATTTCATTTGAATTGTACTTGTTAAATGAACAATCAATATTACTGTTGTCGGGATGAGACCTTAAGGGAGTCCTGGAACCTTCTAGGATTGGACCTGTAGCATCCAAGTCGACTATTCTACAATTAAGAATACCTAAATCCTTTAAATTTGGAGCAAGTTTTCAAATTAGATTAAACTCTCTATCAGATATTTGAATTCTATTTAAAGTTATACTGGTCATTTGATGGGGAAAAGGGAGTGCAGGCAACATATATTTTAGTAAAATTTACTGGCGATAATAACAAGTATTTTAAGGCTTCGATTCGCATTTCCAACTGCTCCTTTGTCATACTGGACGAAGGTGTTGGTTCATCCACTTCGTCGTCATTCAAGGTGAGGTCTGTTATTTCCTTATCATAATCCATTATGCGTTGGGCAAATCAAGGGAACCTAAGGGCTGTTATATTATCCACTTTCCACATGGCCAGTCAATTAAAATGGAAAATACATA